ACTAATAATAACATGATGGTTTATAATTTTCATAGATCCCCCCAAGATAAAAACAATTTGAGCTGAGAATAAAAAGGAGATAGAAGAAACAGGAGTAGTAAAATTGAGAGATGAAAAAAAAAAGCACAAGGCACACTATGTCAGTGTGGACAGCTAGCTGCAACCATGCGCATTGTGGAGGCGCGCATGTATGTGCATGTAACACATCATTTAACCAATTCAATTTGTAATAGCTGACCACATCTGCCATGTGGTTGATACCCTGGCCCGGAGAGCTGTTAATAAACTAGCCCAAGTTTATCTAGCGAAGCGGTATGGTACTAATAACGAAAAAACAACACCGCCTCTGCGTGACCGCGGCTCCGCAGATGGGCCATATCACTATTGTCTTTCGGGCGTCCAGCTTAGCGTTCCGCACTGAGCCAGGCCCAGCAGCGGGACAGTCAAGAAAAAAAAACGACAACCCCCATTCGCCGGCGGCGGTCAGCAGACATGAAGGTCGGCCGTCGCCCACCGGCGAGCAGATCCATGCGTTGCTCCCTTGGTTTCTGGCGCGATTTCGCTTCGCCACGGGAGGGAATAGGAATGGAGGATTTGCCACGGCCGGCCAGTGGTGGCTCGACGGGCCATCCGCGCCACCTGTCCGCGGCCAGCCCCACCCTCGCCGTCTTTATCGAGGCGCACGAGAGCCCTGGCCCTCCAGTGACCTCGCGGCCTCGTCGACGGGATCTAGGGGCGGCGCGCCCGCCTCACGCGGGCCTCGTCTGCTGCCCCCAATCCCCCGCGGTAACCAACTCTCCGTTCCCGGCTGCATCTTCAGGTTCAGAAGTTAATTGAATCCGCACTGATTCCACCGCACGTTCCCGACGCGGTGATCCATCACTGGCCAACACGGTTGTGTGAACAAACTGTAAAGTCAGACAGCAATGCCGCGTGATGAACTGCATCGCAAGTATTGTCCACTAATGCGTTGTTCCATGATGCTTGATCTATTAAACAAACATGTTGACAGCAACGCATCTGGAACTAAGTATTAGTGGTTTGTTATTGTGCTGAAGAACCTGTCAATGCTAGATATCTAATTAGACTGCAGCTAGTCGTATTCTTGACCTTTAACCGACAATCAATTAACAGAACTACCTTCAGAAACGAGTTGCAGCCACGTATATGCGCTGGCTCATGTACCTAACTGTTCCCCACAAAAACAATGTAGCTGATTGTACCTTGTTTGAGTAGCTCAGACCCCAGAACAAGAAACATCTGCCATCATGCGCTCGGAAAACCATTTTTGACGATTACCTTAACGTGTTTTAAGTAATACTCCCTCGGTAAACAAATATAAGAGCATTTAGATCACTACTTTAGTGATCTAAATGCTCTTATATTTATTTACAGAGGGAGTTTAAGCTTGTGAGTCTATGTCTATGAGACTATGACGGATGGGAAGCACTGATAAGAGTGGGGTCTACACGACTTAGGCCCCGTTTGGGAACCCTGTAATATTAAATAACAGTAAACAACATACATCTGTAAATTATGGTGCTCTACGTTAACCAACCGTTGTATACAAGCGAATGTTTTTCCCTTGCAAGGTGGTGTTTGGATAGGCAGCACCATGCTAGTGCACAGGAAATGCCTCTCTCTCAGTACAAACTTGATAACATAGGACCTCTTAGTACAAACTTTATAACACACGATTATATGATGGTGTTTAATCATGAAATGACTAAAATTAGCTGAATAAATATTACTAACATAAAATATCAGTTCCTGATACTATGCAAAAACAGCATGCCCTATATGAATTCTTGTCTTCACAACTTTCAAGTCCAAAATCATGCAAATTGTAGATATCATTCATTGTGCTCCTTGACGTTTTATCGTTGGAGCCTATTTCTTTTCCAAGCCAGTAATTTACACGGCTATCAGACATAAAACCGGCTTTCCAACGGGACCTTAGTGGTGAGTGGTGACTACTTCCATGTATTTTTGCTAAGGGATAAGTATATTTTTCATCCCTCGATTCTTTCAGAAGTATAGAAATAGTTCCTTAATTTCAAAACCAGCAAACATTGGTCCCTCAACTTCCAAAGCCAGCGTCGCCGTCGTGTGTGTCGTGTTGCTGATCATCGTTGGTGACGAGATGTAGATCGTCCAGCACGTGTGTGTGAGCCGAGTGGGCTTGATGGTGCAGGATGTCGCCCTGGACGAGCCCGCCACAGTATAGCAGTACACGCGCCGGGGCCATCAGAGCTGCAGCTTGTGGGGAGATATCGAGAAAGAGGTGTCCTGGTTTAGAGGTTGAAGATGCTCCTTACAGATGGGGTCCACATGTAAGTGAGAGAGATAAATAGCAGGAAGTAAAGTGAAAATTTGGGTTGACGTGATGGGGGGCATACTTGTCACTTTGAGTCAAAAAACGACGCCACGTTAGCAGGAAACCACCCGAAGTGGGGCGAGGGACTAAACTTATCCGGTTTTGAAAGTTGAGGGATCAATGTTTGCTGGTTTTGAAAGTTGAGGGACCAATGTTTGCTGGTTTTGAAATTGAAGGACCATTCTATACTTTCGAAAGAGTTGGGGATGAAAAATATACTCATCCCTTCTGATAATTACATGGTCTACACCTTTTTGGGGGTGATTACCATTTTTAGTTGTAACTAAGCAACATCAGCTATGTGTTCACAGCAACACATATGGAACTAAGAATTATTGGTTTGAACTGTTCAAAGAGCATTACTATGTGTTTTGGTGTCCTGGAGAACCTGCCAGTGTTTGACCTTTAACCGCCAATCAGCTAATACTTAATACAACTGCCTTCAGAAACGAGTTGCATCCACATATATGCGCCAGCTCATGTAGCTAACTGTTCCCTGCAAAAATATAATGTTGCTGATTATACCTTGTTTGAGTAGTTCAGACCCCAGAACAAGAAACATCAGCTACCATGTGCTCGGAAAACCATTTGTGACTATTACTTGATAAAATAGGAAAGCCTCTTAGTAAAAACTTGATAACACATGAATACCTCCATAAGTACAGACATGGTAGTGTTTCTTGAATTATGAAATGACTAAAATTAATCTATATCTATACCAATATAAAAACACCCAAATGGGCAGATCCAAACCATCTCGACCGTTAAATCATGTTATCTACCGGTTCAAATCACTCCAATGTTGAGCACCAAATGCGTTTAATGCTCTAATTACCCACCACTGTTATTTTTGGTTATAAAAACGCTATCCCTTGAAATCCGCCATGTAATTAATATCCTACCATTCTCGCAAAAAAAATAATTGATATCTTACCAAATACCAACATGCAACAGATATATCTTACCTAATATAACGTGCAACTAATATCCTACCTAATATAAACGTGCATTGCACGTACATTATTACTCCTTCCGTCCGGAAATACTTGTCATCAAAATGAATAAAAGGGGATGTATCTAGATGTATTTTAGTTCTAGATACATCCTTTTTTGTCCATTTTGATGACAAGTATTTTTGGACGGAGGGAGTACTAGTTTAACAAATATAACAAACATAAAAAATCAGATCCTGATACTATACTAGAATAGCATTCCCCATATGAGTGCCCTTCTTCACAACTTTGAGGTCCAAAATCATGCAAGAAATCATCACAGCAAATGTAGAGATCATTCATTGTGCTCCTTGATGTTTTATTATTGGAGCCAATTTCTTTTCCAAGCCTAATTTACACGGCTATCAGACACAAAACCGGCTTTCCAAACGGGGCCTTAGTGGTGAGTGGTGACTACTTCCATGTATTTTTGATAATTACATGGTCTACACCTTTTGGGGGGTGATTACCATTGATCTGAAGATCTAGACCATGTTATGGTGATTATCTTCTTGAAGAAGGTTGGCCCGATGGGTTTGCTTAATAAACATTGTGGTTTACAACACAAATTAATTTACTTGAGAGTAAATTAATCAACATGATGATTTCATGCAGGATATGGCGCAGATATATCCAAGAAAGAGTTTGTTGATCTCAACATTGATTGTAGCAACTATCTAACCTGGGCCGTGGATGTCAAGATCACCTTGGCGGCTTGGAATATCAGCTCCACCATAACCACGTTC